ATTATTTAACTTAATTTTTAGTAGTAATAAATATGATATATATCACAAATGACAGATTTTTCAACAAAATAAATTTGATTTTAAATACCTTAGGTAATAAATGGACAAATCTAAACCGATTAAAATTTCTTAAATAAATCTTTAAATTTCTACGGTCAAATATTTCACCTCTCTTTCTCTACTCTACACAACACTCACACTCTTCTATTTATCCTTTAACATGCCAACCATCCTTCATCAATTTTCTTCCTTCATTTATTGTCCTTCGCCATTTTTTCCTCCTCCCTCTTTAATTACCCGATCGAAATTCTTCTTCGCCTTCAATTCACCCTACTTTTCCACCGACTTTGGTGGAAAGTTGGGGTGTATTGTTTTTTTTTTATATTATTAATAAAATATTATTATTTAATAATAATAAAATATTATATAATATATATATATATATTTTTTTGGAATGTTACACCATTAGTATTCTATAGGCCAATATCATCTACGTACCTAGAGGCATATTCTAGTTCTGTGAGTTTTCAGGACTCAATTCACCTAGATTTTTTGTAACAAAAAAAAAGAGGAAAAAAACCCAAGGAATTAACAAAATTTCACAACAAAAAGGTATGACGAATTCCCAATTGCAATACGCTACACCTGTGACAAAACAGCAACAAAAGCGTTTTTTGGCTATTAATATATTATTCTTATTATTATTATTATACATTTTAACATCAAATATATTTTAAGGATACCCTGTGGGTTTGTGTCCCCCGTGTTTATCAAAATAGAGGAGGAAAGGGAGATTAAAAAAATGAAGAGAATGAGAGTCGGCCCAACATCTTATTTGGGCCTTGCTACAATAAAATGATCAGAACATTGGTCCATGAACTAATGACGGCCTAAACCATTTCTTCACTGGGCTTACGTGCAACTGGTCACCCAAAAGGTACACAGGATCCAAAATTTCAATTTGATGGCAGATTTCTTTTTTTTTTTTTTTTTAAGCGCCAGCCAAAGCGGAAGTTTAAATTGATTCTCATATTATCGTTAGATAGATTGTGTGAACTAAAACCTAAGTCCTCCACCAACAGGTTGGGTTTACCAAATAACCGTTATTTCCTTGTGGTGAACTAAAATCAAATTTTTATTGAGAGAAATGTCCACATTTAGTATATATTATAACAAAAGGGGGGAGAAAAACCTAATTCCTCCTCTTTGTTGGAGGTGGTATCCCAGTAACATTAAGATGAATAAAAAATCAGTGTAATATTTCTAATCTTGTCTTTATCCTTCCGTTGATTGTGAGCATATTCCAATAAAGTATTCAGTATAGATTCTTGAGCACCAAACATGAAATGTTTATGATTCCTTGTCTGACACATAGTTAACTAATATCGTTGTTTTCAAAAAATTCTTGGCTTTCTATGTATATTCTCCTCTCTCTCTCTCTCTCTCTCTCTCTATTTATATTTGTGATACTCCCTCCGTTCCTTATTATAAGAGACATTTGATGCTTATGGCATGTTCCTATATATAAGAGACACTTACAAGTTGTCTCTACTTTTTTGTGTTGATTTACTATTTTACCCATATTTATTATCTCCAACTCACACTCTCTCTCCCTCCCACTTCTCTTTCTTTTAATAATTTAATTGTTCTCTCTCATGCTCTCTCTCCTTATTAATGAGGGCATTTTTGGAAAAAAATTATACTTTTTACACATTAATTGTTCTTAACTAATTTTAACTGTTTTTTTTGATCAACGTACTTCGGTTATTTGTCTCTTATAATAAGGAACAGAGGGATATAATTTACGCATTTATTATACTATTTAGTACTGGTTTGAACTCATAATTGATAATCTAGCTAATTCCACCATCTAATCTAGCTTTCAAAATCATGATTTATAGGGTGGAGAGATAGTACTTTTTCGTTTTAGATATAAATTATCTTGTTAAATTTATTGGACAAACGTCAAAATTTTACCTTTTAAATTGCTATTATTTTAGAAGTATATGTATTAAATAGGAGTAAAGTTAAGAAAATATTAAATTTTAACATGAATTTAATAAAAATTAAATTTTTTTATAATAAAACATGTTATGAGTCTAAGAAAAAACATGTTAAAACTAATTTATTTATTTGGTGAGTTGTGTGTGTGTTGTTTTTTTGTGTGGTAGTGATAAAAATATACTACCTCCAGTTCTAAACATAATACTCTCGTTTGAAGATTACAAAACATTTAATAAATTAGGATCGAAGGTAGTAACTTTACAATCTAAATTTCAGTAGTTTACATGCATTGACCACTAATCTAACCTTCTTTTAAATTGAAAGCGAAAACTCAATTTTTTTTTTAAAAAAAAGAGATGTTGGAGATATGGGGCTGACTCAGAAAATATGCATGCCACGATCATTCGGCCTTCTTTTTAAATTTTAACAGAAAAAAAGATTCAAGAAGGAAGAATCAAAAGAGAGCAATACTGATTGATTCTATGTACGATGCTCTAATATTCTTGGCCGCAGACCCAAAAAAAAAAATTATGAAATACTTTTCCGTCAAGCCAATCAGTGAGCTTAAATTGTTGACCCAGAAACGAAAATCAGCATCAGTAATTGTATTAAAAAAACAAATCAGCGATGTTAAATTTGACTTGCTTGCTTTCGCCATCGTAATTGAATGGTCAAAAAGGGTGAACTTAAAGTGAGGGTTTTTATTTTATTTTTTATCTAATTAAAAAAATTTAACATTTCTTTCAACTTTGGTCCCACGCAAATAAAATATCATCAATGATGTCTTTCCGTCAATCTACTAGAAATTCAACGATTTTTTTTTTTTTTTATCAAGAAGTATTTATGTGCAAGAAACTGAATTGAGGGTTAAATCAAAAAGTGAAGTACCCTATATGCAAAAGGATCATATATTGGATTTAATTACGATTACATATTGGATACAATTCCTTTTATTCGAGTTATACTAATTTATTTTAAGTTTGAACTTTTGTTAATCTTATAATTCTTTTCTCAATATCCAAACTATTTGTTAAATCCTAGTCCAAGCCCATCTGTTCTAAACATTTGGATTGATTTGCGCCTCATATTTTATTAAATTTGTCCTAATTTTATGAGGATAAGTGATGATAATTCAAAACATATTTTCAACTAGAAAAAGCAAATACTACTCACAAATTTTCACTTATAAAACAGCATCTATACCACTAGGCCAGGGGCTTTTTGACGTAATTTGAATTTTATTAGAACATAATTTTTGATTCAGTGTCTCAATCTGTTCAGTAATGACTTTGCGAATTAATAATCGTTTTTTGCAGTGCAAATGGCAGGACGCTTGTGTCCTAAGAAAAAGTTACAACAAAACTGTATGCTTTATTAAAGTTTCCGAAAATTGTATATATTTGAACACGTGTAAATTCTTAAACTTTGCAATCTGTAATCTGTAAAGATTAAAACACATATATAAAGGCTCAGTTTGCTGGGAAGATTAAAAAAAAAAAAGAAGAAGATAAAGGCATATATTCTGATTGTATATGTGATATCTAATATTGCATAGATCTGCTTTGGATCAGTTGGCAAAAAACAGAAGAAAGAGAGATCGGATTTGAATCATTGAGCTCGCTCAACTGATGTAACGGGTCGAAAAGGCCCGTTCCCTTATATACTTACTTTATAAAATTATAATTTGGTTTTTATCTAAATATCCTATAAAGAAGGAAGTTAAAAACTTTTTTTGAGAGAATAAATGGAAGTCTTTATTTGTAATTTTGCCTCAAGAATATTTTTTACCATAATTCATATACGTTTTTAATGGAAATTTTGAATTCATAATCTCACATTTAAAAAAAATTTTTAAAAAAGTTGTTTGTTATCAATTAGACTACAAGTTCATGATGTAGTTTATATCTAAATTGAAACTTGGGGTGTTTTGGTATTAAGAGAAGTGCTTTTTAAAAGTATTTTTTTGCAAATTGAGATAAACTTCTCCACATATTTACTCCGTATAATACCGTAAAATCACTTTTAAAACTATAATTTGGTTTTTATCCAAACACCTTTTTAATTTACAGGGCTTCCATTTAAGGAATCCAAATTCATAGATTTCCAAACTATATATGTAATCATTAAAAATTGAATCGTTAAATAACAAGAAATTGGTGGGGAAAAAAGAATAACAAGTAATTATATTGTAATTTTTTTTGTGAACGTAATTATATTGTAATTTTTGAGCTGTATAACTCGTCCTAAAACGCATGTGCATGTCCTTTAATTTTTAAATAAATTATTTAGATAAAAAACAAAACTTATGGCAAACATCTTAATAACAAAAAATATACTATGACAATAACAAAATTCCCACTCACATCACGAATCACTAATAGTTTATTTAAAAAAAAATTATCTATAAGTGATAAATGATGTTGTTCTTTTCAAGGTATTTGCAGTTTTTATTTTTCTTTTTTTGTAATTTTTAAATATTTCCCAATATATTTAAAAATTAAAAGTTATTGAACGTTTCAAATTATTATTGTTTTGTGAATGTGTCAGAAAGGGAAACATATTATATATAGCACTATATCGGCATCAATAAAAAATCCATATAAAAACAAAAATGATGATATATCCATACCAAACATATCCTCTCTTTTTTTTTTTTTTTTTAATTTTAACAGAAAATCGGTAAATAAAAAATTGTTTTTTTGGAGTCATGTGAACCTCTAGTCTCCTACTACTACTAGAAGTGGAGGCGGGAGCATACCCTAATCCCAAAGAAACTCTAATTGAAAGCCCTATCATTTCCCCTTGTACTTATCACGTAACATGCAAACCTTAGGGCATTGTTTGGATGCATCTTATTATTCTTCACAGTTCTTCCCCAATTAAAAGTTCCTCCCAGACGCGTCCTACACAAAGCAGATTCTTTTTATTTGCTACGTGCCCCACACTTTTGCGTTATTCTATTTTTCAGCTCCCTTATAAAGCCAAGAAGACCATCATGTGTGGCCTTGCCTACCGTACTGACAAGTCTTCACATTAAGTAGGGACCGTAGAGGCGGAGAGAGAATTCGGCGGAGGTAGGAGGAAGATATGGCATCTGACGGCGTCGTTGGCTCTACCGATTTTCCTGTGAAGAGGCAGAGAGAAGATGGAGAGAATGGGGTCCCTGCTTCGACCGTCTCTGTGGAGGCGGACGGTAATGGTGTATCAGCTGTGATTCCTGGGTGGTTCTCCGAAATTAGCCCAATGTGGCCTGGTTAGTTTCCTCTTAAAACCCTTTTATCTGATTCCTTCAAAGTTGCCTCCTTTCAATACGTTTGCTTATCGAGAAACAAAGGTGTTATGTTTGTTTGTTTTCTACGTGCTCGATAGAAAACGGACGAGTAAATTTACGATTTTAAGCCTTATGGAGTTCGTTCCTATGTCAATATACGTGGATTTAGTGATTTGAATGATTTTATGCCGATTCTTCTCAAGTTTTCTGTCTCATGGTTGATGTGTTTTTCTTGATTTCTGTCAATTTTTGCATCATATCCTGCTTATCGGCCTTTTCCCTGTCATGCTACAGAATTCTCTGTTCTCGTTGTTGTATATGTTTCTGCACTCATGCTTCTTGGATTTGTTGTATTGTTTTCTGAAGGGTCCCCTTTAGACACCTTCTTTGATTTATCCCTGTTTTGTTTGCGTTATTAAATTGCTGAAACGGTGTGGTTGGTTTTGTTATGATTGTTATCTGTAATGTTATTTTCATGGCTTTAGTTGTGTTTTTTCACATCGATCTCGGAACATACAGCAGTTTGGTTCATGATGATGCTTGGTTCCCTGAGAAGTTTTGTTTCTGTTTTATGTTCCATTGTTAATTTAAAAAAAGAACTTATCATCGGTCTCAGCTGGAGTAGCGTGTGGTGCTAAGATAAGTCTATTTCAAGTTCTCGGAATAAGTGTTTATCAGATGCTGAATTGCCTTTTCACACCCCATCTGTTGAATGTTAATATTCCTTTTTACTATATTATATATCACCGATTTTAGGTTTCTATAGGTTTTCAAACTTTGTTTTAAATAGTTCCATTTTTATTTCATGCTAGAGGGGAGAGGCACCATCTAGCCAAGAGCATAAATGCTATTTCATTCAATGCTTTGCACTTGTGCTTCTACTTGTTATTCTCAAGGTTCTTGTTTGGCTTACTTTTAAATTTTCTAAAAACTTGTAATTGTTACACTTATGAGGAAAAGGAATTGATTTTCAGGTAAATATTAAAGTGCTTTATATCTCGATTGTAGTTTTGGTGTCAGGCTTTGGGTCCCTTTGCATGGATTTTAGGGTTCTAGAACATAAAGTTGATACTTGGTATGCTTACTTCGTGATGGAGTGGCTTGGTTTTCCTTGCTTTTTAACGTTCTTCATTTTTTAGGAACACTAGAAGATAGGCAAATCTGAAGGTCCTGCTTTGTGCTTTCACAAATGTTTTTAAAATGTGTGGACATTTATTTAGACCACAAGGTCTATGTAGGTTCCTCTGATATTGATGAATCTACTGGTATATTTCTGCATTTATTGTGTTCTTTTTGCTTATTTGTCTATACATTTGATTGAAGATACAATTTTTTATGGCAACAAATCGATTTTACTTAATAAGTGAAAAACCAAAAAGGTCATAATTCCCTGTTGTTTTTGCTCCTGCATTAAGTGGAACTTATACATCTTGAACTTCTTGTTGGAATACTACTTATGAATTATGAATTTGAGCTTGGCTGTAAATTTTCAGGGGAAGCACACTCTTTGAAGGTTGAAAAGATCTTGTTTAAGGGGAAGTCTGATTACCAGGATGTCATGGTCTTCCAGGTTCAGCATGCTTCAGAAAATTTATAATTGTTTATACCCATTTTTGTGTTCCTTATTATATTAACAGTGCGATGTTTTTCTTTTTGTAGTCATCAACATATGGTAAAGTTCTCGTTTTGGATGGAGTAATTCAGCTCACCGAAAGGGATGAATGTGCCTACCAAGAGATGATCGTTCATCTTCCTCTTTCCTCTATTTCAAATCCAAAGAAGGTGTTATAAACTTCTAGCCATTTAGGAATGAGATTGTCTAAATTGCTCAGAATTTTTAATTCATTTTTCCTTTAGTTTTCTTTGACCTTATCTTAGAAGGTTGAGGCAATTGTTGGGGAGAATAGAAAGGATCATACTAGTAGAGTGGCATAAGATATCGAGAATACAACTGGAATTAAATTGTCTTGAGGGAATGAAATACTGGGCTATAACAAACAGAAACACTTGGAAATATCACTCTGGCTCTCCCTATGGTAAATTTTCAACTTTATCAGTCTAAAGTTCTGTTTTTCTTGCCATTCTGTTCTTTTCTAGGTTCTGGTTATTGGTGGAGGGGATGGTGGCGTCCTGCGGGAAGTGTCACGCTATTCTTCAGTTGAGAAGATAGACATTTGCGAAATTGACAAGATGGTAGTTGATGTGAGTGATACTTCGACTCTTTTTTCCCTCCCTAAAACAAATCTGAACTTTAATGGTTGCAGATTCCTATGTTAATTCCATCTGCACTTTTTCTATGTTGGGTGGGATTTTTACTTGAGTAAAATTAGTTCTTACTATGCTGGAGCTGGTCTTTTTCCCTTGGCATAAATTAATTATGATGTTATCATCTGATACCTGTAGTAATATGCGCAGAACATCAATTTTGATTCTTCATTCTTTGCAGGTCTCCAAGCAGTATTTCCCTGAAGTAGCAGTAGGGTATGACGATCCACGTGTGACACTTCATATTGGCGATGGTATGGTTAGCCTTTTCGTTTAGTTTTTTTTTAACAGCCTGCTTACCATTTCCTGAGAATTCATCTCATGCTTGCTTACCTCTTAATGGTCTAGGTGTTGCATTCTTGAAGGAAGTTCCTGAAGGAACTTATGATGCAGTTATCGTGGACTCATCTGACCCTATAGGTGTGATAGAGCTTTAATGCCTTATAATTCTCTTGATCTTGTAGAGTAATTCAAATTGTTTCCTCAATAGAGACACTGCATTTGGTATATTTCAGGCCCTGCTCAAGAGCTTTTTGAGAAGCCCTTTTTTCAGTCGGTTGCTAGGGCTCTTTGTCCTGGAGGAGTTGTGTGTACTCAGGCAGAAAGTATATGGCTTCACATGCATCTCATTGAGGACATAGTTGCAAATTGCCGCCAAATATTCAGAGGCTCTGTCAACTATGCTTGGACTACAGTTCCCACATACCCAAGGTTTTTCCTTATATTATTTTCTATCTTTAGTGGTCTGCAAGGAACGCCTTATCTATAGGATGTTGATCACACTTACATCATAGGCTTATTTGTTGTGCTGAAAAATGGTCAACTGAAACTGCACTGGCTTCAACTATTATGCCGCTGCAGAAATCTCTCTTTTTCGCCCCCTCCCGTGTTCCCGTTTGAAGGGAAGTTGTTGGTTTTACTTGGGCGTGTCGTTTTTTTAGATGTGTCCTATATTGGGATGGGGAGAAAATTAGGGAGGAAAGGATACTAGGAGGGAAACTTCCAATAATAGAAAGGAAGGAATATTAGAAGGGAAAACTCCAAAAAACAGAAATTTTTTTAACTATTTTTGGAAGTTTTCTTTCCTAGCATTCCCGCCTTCTTATTTTCCTCCCACTTTTCCCTCCGTGCAGACATAGCCATAAGGTGCTGTCTGCGGAAGGATAGTGAGAGAATGGTTTCGAATGATGATGCTTTTACTGTTTCATTTCAGTGGGGTGATTGGTTTTATGCTTTGCTCAACTGAGGGACCTCCTGTTGATTTCAAGCATCCTGTGAATCCTATAGATCAAAATCCCAGTCAGAAGACAGACAGACCACTGAAGTTTTACAACTCCGAGGTGTGTTTTTTCTCCAATCATTTTCTCTCTTGAGCGCTTCTTCCCCTATATACTGGTGAAATACTGTTTCTTTGTTTATATCAACTTACACGAATCCTCGTATTTAATAACAGATTCATACAGCAGCTTTCTGTCTGCCATCTTTTGCCAAGAAGGTGATTGAACCGAAAGCAGAGTGAGAAGATTTTCGAGTGCTTGGAGGACCATTTGTGGCTGTTGTAGAAGGCCAGCTTTTAGTTTTGCATTCCATTTATGAACAATAAGTTAGAGCTTTTAATTTGTCATGAAGAGCGAGTCTTATATCACGAAAATTAGTTGTAGGCTACAATGGATGGATTTCAGATGTCATTTATAGTCTGGAATTTGATTTTAGTGTTAGAGATCAGTTTTAGATGCAAACACTTGCTTTTTGTCCGCTGTGAAATGCAATCTGCCTCTAATGCAAAATCACTTACTTACCTCATATAGCATCAAATCTTTTACTTATTTCGTATAACATAAAATTACTTAAAAGTTAAGTTAATTCGAACCACAGAGGATGAGTGGGAAGTCATCAATGATAAGAGAGTATTATGCACGCTCTTCTGTTGTGCATATTAGGATTCCTGAAGTCAAAACATATAATTCTTTCGTGCAACACGGGGGATGGAAACGCAGTTATACTACTAACCTTGTGTTGGAAAAGTTAGAGGGAAGGGGAGGCAAATTTTGTGACTGAAGTATCCTTATTGGCTTTGTTGTATTCCAAAATCACCCCTGCTTCCATTAAATGAAAAACCTCTTTTCTCTCGTCTTACTCCTGCTCCATTATGGTCCTTACCTCATTCAAACGTGGTTGAGTCACCTACCATCCTCTGATTCCATTTACTGTTGCGGGATTACGAATTTAAGGAGAATACCAAAAAATCTTAATGAACGTAAAAAATTATTACAGACTACTCTATTATTATTGGAATTTTTTGTCAATTATGTGCCTTTGCAACGATTCTCCCAAAAATTTATAGGATCTCAGGACGAATGAATTTACTGAGTTTCTGCGACAATCATGTTTGAATGTTATTTTCTTTTCAGTTTTAAATTAATATTTTCTCACGTTTCTAATTTTTGGCTTGGATATTCAACTCTTGTTTACGATTTCTCTCTCAATAAGCATTACAAAATCACTGGGATCATACGTTAAAAATATTACCAGATGGTGGAGAAGAGAAGGGAGAGTCGGCGGAGGGGAATAACTGAAAAACAAGAGGCGGCGAAACTAAACAACAGAAGACGGCGGAACTTCAGACGAGAGGACGAGGCGGTGGTGAAGAAACGATGTAACGACGACGGCGGCAGAAGAAAAGGAGCTGAAAACGATGATCTGTTGATGTGGCGGAGGTGAGAACAAGAGACGGTGGCAAAAGCGTTAGAAGACGCCGGAGAGTGCCAGAAGGGCCACAGAGAGAGAGGGAGACTCTTGCCTTCCTCACTCAACCCACTCGTGAAATTATTCTCACCAATCTTCCCCAATGTGTTTTCACTCATGAACAACGTTAATATCTTCACCTAATTCTCTCCTCGCTATTGTCATTCTGATCGCCCACTTCAACAAATTTGCATGCCAAACAAGCCAACTTAACAAAGATGTTTCATTCTCAAAGTTTAAGAAACGAGTTGCACTGCTCATACATCAAGCGAGAGAGCAAATTGTTACAGTTTTAAAAATGGTTTCAAGCTACTGCATTATTTCCACCTATCACTCGACCGACCCCCATCCGCTCTCTGATCATGAAGCACCAGTGATCCATTAACAGAGAGATCACGATCAAATTAAATTAAATTAAATTAAAATATTAAAATTATAAAACTTTTATCCTTCAAATTTGCCCCATTGTTAATTATCAATTTAATCCTTAAGAATTAATCCTTCAAAACAAGCCCCTAAAGTTTTATGACCATGCACATTTTGTCCTTATGATTTGAAAACAAATAATCCTTCACACGTGCAACGATGACAACCTCTTCAATAATCACAAACACAAAAAAGGGTCCAATGCAACGAAATAAGAATATAAACTGCACTCCTCAAGCACAAAATGAATAGGAATAGTAATTTTTTCTAAAACTTAATTAATCGAAATTAAACTTCAAGAGTCAAATTAATGCCACTTCCGGCCATTGACTGATTTGAAAAAAATTAAGAATTACTAAATTATTTTAGATTATATATATTTATCATTTTTTCCAAACTAATGTACCTAAATTAATATATAATCAAGCAACTGAAAAACTTTCTTAGTCTCCCAAATTAGTTAAATCAAACAAACTTGATGGACTAAAAGGAGGCAAATAAGTACGGGTATCCATTTCAATTTGCTGCAATCATTTCAAGCAATAATCTGCTACAAGAGGATTAACAAATTTTGATTATTGAAATGTGTAGTCATCAATCAATTATCAACCAAAAAATCAATACACCAAACCGGTGTCTACTGTCAATGAATTTAAGTAAAACAAAGCCACAGGGGGGAGGAGGGCGGCTAGGAACCCGTCCCAAAATATGAATGGAAAAAATAAATGGACAGACGGAACCGAGCAAAAACAATCTCAACCAACCAACGCTGGCAATGACCTGTAGCAAATCCATTTTGCTTAGGCCTTAAAGGGCAGGAGAGCGCGTGACAAACTAGGGTGCAGATGAAGACGATTAGCATGTCCCAAAAATATTACAACCGCTGACAAGGGCAGATTCACTAAAGTCCATGAAGAACACACCATCTTAAGGCGAAGAATGAAAGACCCTAGGCACCAGCGTGTTACCAGAGCATCCTTCCTATCCAACCAATGAATTAGGCAAGTTCTTGCAAAACACTAGATCCTTCTCATCCTATGGATTATGCAAGTTTTTCGGCATCCTTGACACAGCCCATCCTTCTTATCCAATGGATTATGCAATTGCTTGCACATCCAATGCAGGATAACAACAGATGCCATGCCAAAGAAGAATAAAGACAACAGTGTCCCATAGACCAAGTTGAAGATCGCACTCACCTTCGAGAACCATGCAGACACGGCTAGTAGATCGTTCTAATGAATATGCAGATATTTGGAAGAAGCAGCCGACAATGAAACTACAGAGAAGCAACCAAGTAGGATTCTGGTTTTGTGAAGCGAACAGTAAATGCAGCGATTGACCAACAATGCACATTTGACTCAATGATGAAGATGCAGAGGTCACTATTTTATACCCTTCCACCTCTAAACTGCTCCAACTCATGCGGAAGGTGCCCGTAGAATCCTTTAATGAGGGGCCGGTAAAAAGGTTAACAAACAGCAGCTTCACTGCAGAAGACAAAAAATTCATGGGGCACAACCAAATTGTCGACTTCGCACTTTAAGTCTACTTGTATGCAGAAGGAACTAGATGAGATGATTGTGGCGCAGAGAAGCAGACAAAAAGATGGAGTGAGTGACGATTTGCCGACAATCACACCTCACAACAAAAGGAAAACAAGAACATCCTTTAGGATCCATAAATACCAATACATTATGGTGCCATATCATATAAATAGAATACTAAAACTAATAATAAGCAAATAACATAAGTTGCTGTATAAAGTTGGAAGAGACCTTTCAGTTTCAGCAAGTCGACGAGAGACAGAAGATGCTAAAGTGTCCCATGCATCCTTTTGGCGGCTATAACACCTTGCAGGTGCCATCGAAAACCAAATATCTAACACCGACCATTACCAGAATATCAACATAACTAACATGCATATTTTCCTCAAGCAGTCCTATGGTAATACAATACAGCAGAGGCCATTCCTGAAGGTCATCCAGCATTTGCTCCATTCATATTCCAACCTTAATCTCTGTAAAAACAGGTAATTACGTTTATATAAATGTAATCAACAGAAATGAAGTTAGATCAGTGACAGCAATTGCATTGAACACAGCGAAACCTACCCATTGGCATAAGGAGAGTCACGGCGAGAACGGCGGTATGGAGGGGACCTGCTGTAACTGCGTCCACGTCGAGGAGGTGTAATGCTGCGTCGCCTAGGAGATCTTCTTCCGTAAGGGCTATAACTCCTGACAAAATGAAACAAGTTCAATGCACCAATTTATGGCATCAAGTCTCAATAATCTTCAAAGAGACTACAGTTAGAGAAATAAAAAAGTATTAGCATCCTAAAGGATTACCACTTGATAAGTTACACTTTCACAAGATATGTGTAATGCACATAAGGAAATGTAGAGACTAAAATTCTATTTACACCCACTCCCAGAGGCTTAATTTGACCGACTGCACCTCAGGATTTGAATTCAGAATTCAACAGGACACTCCAAGGGGCTAACTTAGGTTCTATGTACTTCAGATTTGCATTCCCTTTCCAGACCCACTGTCCACACAGATTGATGATTTGGACTGAGGAGTTTATCATCAAGGCAAAGCCCCGGGGTGAAAAATATGTGAGAACCGAATGAAAGAAGATACCTAATTACGCTGTTGACCAAATGAAACAATAACAGTTTAATGCAAACAGAGACGGTGGTGGGCATGTACTATTAATAATTTGCAAAATAAAACAAAGTACCCCACACAAGAAAAACCCACCGCATAAATGCCAAGTAGACGCTGAAGAAACTTAAACTTGCAACGACCCATGCTAATATCAATTCATGCCATTTAATGCCTCCACATATTTTGATAGCAGTGAATCATGAAATGCTCAATAGAAAACATTTCCGTCCCCATGGCAATCTTCAGAGCAGCCTAAAACCTAAATTACAACTTATACTGTTTTCCCCTTATATATGCATCAAGCATCTTGATAAACAATGAATCCCTCCAAACTACAATTGAAAGGTAGACAAATTTATGCATGCAGAAGTACTGACATATAACATAACTCATTTGAAATGCATAATCCTTCAACTCGTACATCCAAACACTACAACCCACCTGCGACCATAACTTGGACTTCTGCGGCGCCGATATGGACTGGGGCTACGACGGCGCCCACTTCCTATGCCTCGTGAACCAACACGCAAGCGGCACTCCCTAGCAAAATGACCAGGCTCACCACACTCATAACATTTTAAGTCTTCACCTCCACGTCCGCGTCCGCCTCTTCCGCCACCACCTTTGGAATTATGAGAAAGCTCTACACGCCAGCCATTTTTTCCTGCATGTAATTCAATCAGTCATGTGAATCATGAATTAGGATTTTTTTTTTTAATAAAAAAAATAGAGATAGAGCTGCAAGATGACCACATACAACGCTATAAATATGAACTTAACAAGAACAAGAACATATACTGACCATCCAGAGCATGAATTGCATCAAGCGCATCCCTCCTATCATCAAACTCAAGAAATGCATAACCTGGTGGCCTTCGAGCAACCCAGACGCTGCATTAAATATGTTTATCATAATCAAGCATTCAAAATGTAAGTCCTTTATCAAGCAATGTCCCAAG